TGTTGTAGCAGAACGGGTAGTTTACTATTATATCCTGTCTCTTTGCAGTTGGCCCACACATAGGGCGTTACTGTGGGCAGAACAACCCAGGACGTGTCCGGTCTTCAACGGGGATTCTCTCAATGGCATTTTACACTGACAGTGCAATAGCAAAAGAGGGATTCTCAGCAAATTACAGCGTGTCGCAGAGCAGTGTATCAGAAGGTCAGTATTTATCTATCCCGCAGAGCTTCTTGGAAAATATTCTCTCTTATGTCTTCTTGCACACCAGGTGTTGCATGAAACTTTAAAGAAACCTTAAATAAATAAGGTGGTGGGGAAGGGTTGGTTCTGTTTTTCCTTTTTTTTTTTTTTCTTTAAAGAACAGCTGCCCTTTGAAAAGCAGCACAAGAAGCAGAATTCTCCTTACAGTTTTATTCTGCAGTATTGCCAGGAAGTTGGGATAATTATTGTGAAAAACTGTGCTGACCAAGGAAACACAGGAATGCAGAGCAATTGAACACTTGCATTAAAACAATGAAACATGAACAATGAATGCACTATCTAAAGCCTTCTTTTATTACGTGGAATAAGCTTTGATGATCGATTTCTTGAATAAAAAGAACCCATTTAATATATGTGCTCTTGTTAAACCATTTCATAAGCCCTCTAAACTTTGTTCTCTGTCTCGTATTTTTTTCCCAGTTGCCTCATTTTCATGCTTACCCTTTGGACAGAGAATGAAATGAAGTGAGGGAGACACAGGAAAATAAGGGGCTGTGTTACACCACGTCCTTGCAGATTTCCCTGCTTTGCTCAATGATAGAATACACACTTTAAAGCAAACTGTCTCCTTTCTGTGACTGGCTGAGTTTTGAGCAGATTCACTCAGATTTGATGTACTTGTTTAGTCAAAGAAGGAACAAAAGAAAAATGAGTAAACTGAAATTATCCCTGTCACTCCCTACCTCTCCTCTGCCTCTTGCCTCTTTAGTAGCTTTCTTGCACGTGCATAGCCAGGAAGAGGGAACAGGGCATACCCCAGCCTCTGTGGATGGGAAGCATCTTCCTCTGTCTCTCTCAGATGGTACCTCCAGCTAGTATGTCTTCTACTTATGTAGATGCTGCTCCTACCCCTTCATTAGCTAGCACAGGCAACTTCGTTCCCCATGTCACCCACCTCCACAGTCATCCTCCCTGAGCTGCAGAGGCATCATCACACTGGAGCCAGAATTAATAATATCTGCTAAGCTGGGATGCCTTCAGCTCTTAAACACAGGAAAACAGAACAGGAGAAGTTAGTGTGTGTGAAAACCCTTTTGGATGATAAGAGGAAACATTTTCTATGATGCAGGCTTAAACAGAGGAGTGATTCCTCTCACTTAATTTCAGCTCTTTGTGTTGTCACTACAGAGAGGGTCACCCTCCAGAGGACAACTCGGCCTACTCATTACAGACACGTGAGATGTCCCCAGGAGGTACTTGTCCCTCTCAGTAGTCTACAGGGAAAGCCCACACGTCTAGATCAAACCAGACACCTACCTTTTAGATATTTTAATATGACTCCCACCTACCATGTCTGCAGTTCTTTGTAGTGGCCTATGGCTGTCTCACCCTAAAGTAGTTCAGTTTCAGTACTTCACCCAAGGCCCCTAATATGTTGAAGCAGCACAGAAATGGGGGAAAGGATGGCATGCCATGGGAAATGCAGTTTGGCAACAAGTTTGATAACTCAGTTATGGAGCACCCTAACTACAACTCCTACAATGTACTCTGATAGCATTTCTGAATGTAAGTTTCTGGATCCCAGATAGAAGTTTTTAAATATTTTTTCACAATGTTTTAACTTTCATTGAAAAATCAGAACATTTTTCCAACTTATAGATTTTTAAACCTTCAGATCAGCACCTAACCCTCTGTTAGAGATACATCAGCTCCAGAGAAGGTGTAATAAAAAAGAGTGGGTACCCAAATGTCAGGGCCTCCACTTCACATATCAGTACTTTACCTTAAACTGCTAATGAAGGAACAAATTATATTAATATACTATGAAGTCCCTGAACAGAAGCGTAGGCACAAGTTATTTTCTCCTGCCCTTGTAATGGGATTGGTAAACCTCTGGCAGAGGGGGGCATGAGCAGCTGGATGTGAGGTTCTGTCAAAAGTCACTGGCCTTCCTTGCTTCTGTGGGGGTTAGAGCACTCATTTTTGAATAGTGAGAGAAGAATTTAGTCTCCATGCCCTGTCACCCTTTGAACTCACCAAAGTGATTGGGTTGTCAATTGATTTTGAATTATCTTGGTAATGTTTGTGTCAACAAAAAGAGATTGGATGGAGATGATCAACTCATTTAAAATACATTATGTTATAGAAGAGGTGGTAATTCCCTTAGGTCAATACTCTTCTGGCCTGGGTTCAAATTTTGTTGTTGTGTTTCTTTCTGGTGTCCAGGATCAAAAGAGAATGGCTAGAGTTTTAATAATATTTTTAAAACATCTTGTACTTTTTGTACTGGAGTAAATAAATTTTAAATAAAATTATTTTATACAGTCATCTGGTTTGTCTTTCCTGCCTTTGTGCATAATTATGAGGTGAACATACGTTGTTTTATATTATGAATCCACAGAAGTGCCTGTGCTACCCTGGAAAAGAGAATTCTATTGTCCTATATTGAAATGGCTACAATGCTGGGCTAAAAATATTTGTATAGCATTATTATTGCAGGAATTGCCATGGCAACTCGAATGACAGTATTAAGAATGACACCATAAGCCCAGTACTGCCTCACTTAAAGTTGCTAAAGAATTCCAAGTCACATAAAAATAAATTCTTTATATATTCATATTCAAAGCAGGAAAATGTTCTCATTATTCAAAGTCTAAATCAAAAAGCTGACCATAATAATGATGGTAATTTATTTTTCTTCAGATTTCCAGTGCATGGAACCACTAGGTATGGAGTCAGGAGAAATTCTCTCTGATCAAATCACTGTCTCCTCCCAGTACAGCGCTATCTGGTCTTCAGAAAGGTCCCGGCTAAATTACCCTGAGAATGGATGGACCCCAGGGGAAGATTCTATCAGAGAATGGATACAGGTAAAAAGATAACGTTTTAAAGATATTATTAATAATACTCTGTGGAGCTTTTTGAATGTGGAGAATGCAAAAGAAAGAAAAAAATAACACAGTAAAGTCCTTCTACATAATCTAAGAATCATTGCAAGTGAATAGCTCACATTCCCTATTAGACACAAAAAAAAAGACTGACTCCCAAAGGTATAAAAAAGAAAAGGTCAGGAAGATTAATTCTTCTGCTTCCCACGTCTATTGTTTTTTCAGTCTTCTGGGCACAAATAACAGAGATTTTGGTTTAGTGGAAAAGTCAATATTAGTTTAACATGCACTTAAAGTGGAATGTCCCCGTAAACTGAGCATGTGCTATGTCTCTAGCTGATTACAGTTAAGCATTAATACGGCGTGGTGTTTTCATGCACTCAGATTTCACCTCAGAAGACCTATGTCCCTTCTAGAATATGTTACACATGAAATGAGTTCAGTGGTCTCTGTCTAGTCGCTATTCTTCCACATCCTTAAATACAAAGTTCATTAACAAGATTGGCTGCCTCGGCTTTGCTCTGTTAGTACAGGAGAAATCATGCAGACTTTTGTCGCCACGAAAAGACTCCTTGAGTTCAGTCAGTCTACTTGGGCCTGTTGTTTGCTATTTGTTATCAGCTTCATAGCTTAATGGCACATGATTCCTGTACAGGTTAAAATTATTCATATGAATTACTGTATACAAATAATCTATACTAGCAGGCAATTATTAATATAATTAGGTGAAAAAAGCATGCATTTATCTCGATTGTAGGTTGAATTACACTTCTTAGTTGTAACCTAGTTTCTATTTATGTTGGCAAAAGCTGAGAGAAAGGCTTGAGCATATTAGATCAATATTACTAATATTGAAAACTTGTTCATATATTTGAAACATTCCTCCTGCTTCTGTTGTTTTCTATAGGAAATTACTAACTGACATATAAAAACAATGCCTTATTAGCCGTCCATACAAATGTTCACATTGGTGTTTCCTGTGAGGTTTGCTGTCTGCAAGAAAGCTTAAAAACATGTTGAGTAGTAGTTAGTAAAGGAAAGAAAGGGGGGGGGGAATCTTTTATTTCTGATCCTTGGCACACAATGGGACTCTCAGGTGTCCTGTTTAGGGGCCCCTACACATCCTGAGCTCTTGGCAACTTGGCAATCGTGTATGATGGACCTAATCAGACTTCAGAGTGGCAAAAAAACCAATCTGTTAATCCTTTTTCCTTACTTAGGAATAAATGTTAAAATCTCCCCAGCCTTATCTAAGTGCAAGGCTTGTTATTAATCATTGCCACTTGCAATCCATGGAATGCACATGGAAAAAGGGTGGAATGCATCAGAATCAAATTCCATGTGTTTCATCTGGTCGAAGGGCCGCCACTTTTTCTTTATTTCCTTCTTTTCTGCTGTCACTTATGCATTTATGACTGGATAATCAAAACAAGAGAGCTAGTCAAATCTCATTCATGTGTTCTGTGTGCTTATTAGCTTTATTGAGTTATGATGACTACGTACATATATATACATAGCTTAATCCTTCCACTTAGAACTAGATCTTTCTGAGAAAAAGTTTCAAAGGACTTTTTTAAACATTAACTTTTTTAATAACAAAGACATAACAGAATACAAGCTACTCTGGAGTTTGTGCTTAAAACAGCTCAGGATACCTCAGGCCTCCCGCTCATGAAGTTCTCAGCCTCCTTTGCCTTCTGCCGCAAACCAGGCTGCTCAGGGGCTGAAACAACCACTGAGCATAATTTTTAGCAGGTTTACACTTCCTCCAGCTACCACATCAGCCAAGAAGTTGGTGATTATTTGTATGCTGTACCGCTCATGCCACGGGTCTCACCTACTTCACCCAGCCCCTGGTTTGGAAAAGGCAGCAGGAACCATTTTCCTGAGCAGCCTAGCCCTAGGGCATCTCCTCCGCCGCCCGGGGCCCGTGCGGAGGGACCAGCAGCCCCACGGCAGACTCCATGGCAGAGCAACTAGGCCGCAGCAGCCTTCGCTGCAGAGCTGGGTCTTGTTTGCAAGACTGACCCTAGAAAGTCTTGCTTGAAGATTCCTTGCATTGAACAGGCATCCTTAACGTGTTGTGGGAGAACTGTTAATTGTTTCGACTACTCAACCTACGTAGCAGAAGCAACTGAGCTAGTTTAGAGATTGAGTATGCCATCCCCTGGCTTTTCACGAGGTACAACAGTTTAACTCATCTTTGGTTCCATTTGTGTCAGGAGGATACTAATTCTTATACTGATTTATTATGGTTTAATTCAATGCTAACATCGCTAATTCAAACTTCCAAATGTGTTCTAAATGCTTTCCTGTTAAACTTAATTGTCAATCTTGAGACGGGTGCTAAGCACTTCAGACCATCAGACACCTCAATAACAGGGTCCTTGCACATGTGAACCGCTATCCTCTACAAAGGCTTGATGCCATTGGCAGCAAGCACATGTTGCGAGTTTGTATCTGGATAAAATATTGAAATCCCGTGTTTCCTCTGTACAAATAGCCACAGGAACAGATGTTCCTCTCCATAAGAGCTTACAGCCAAACAATCAAGGACATGCAACTAATAAAATACTCTGAAATTACTTGTTAAAAAAAATGTAATATATTATAAAAGGAGGAAGACACTTGGATATGAAGGACTGAGGTCACTTTGTTCTGTTTTGTTCTGTATGCTATTATAAACTAGTAATTTATTAGAAGTATTTTATGCAGTATAGCATAAATGGATTTTTGTTACACAGTGCAAGAAGTCCAGAAATTATCCAACAGCAAAAAACAGTCTGAATGATACAGCAACACTGAACTTTGAGCTTCTAAAGTGCAAATTTCTGCCTATATGCCTTTGTCTAAGAGAAAAAGATTTTGTGTATACCAGTATTCATTAACCTTTTCACAATTGCAGGTTTCCATACCTGCACACACATTGCAGCAGGATAAGTAGCGATGTCTGCCTTCAAACTGCTCATGTGCATATGCAACTACAACATGTATATGAGATACATAGAACCATACATGGGCAAAGCAGCTTGAAAATTCAGCTCAAAATACTAATTTCCTTAGTGTACCTTTTTTTGTATAGGGGAAATATTATAGTTCTCCTTTCCCTTCCTTTTACCCCTCCCTTCAAGGTTAATGTTTTTGCTAAGACAAAAGAAACAGAAAACCTCAGTTAAATATCAGCAAAGGGAGATTTGTATCTATAGAGGACAGCTAGAGGGCATGCGATATGATTGTCTCCTTTGAGGTGTTGACGTCTTTCAGACCATTTTGCTGAAAATAATTAGGAAAATAGTGTTGGCTTGTTGTTAGTAGTGGATTTGCATGAATTCCATCTGTGGACATGAAACCCATTCTTTGGTGGAAAAACTAGATTGCTTCTTTGTGGCTGACAAGGTACTAACTCCTGAGTTCATCTGAATGCCACCAGCTTACAGGGCTCTGCTCAGCGAAAGCTGCCTGTCCGTTCCTTTCCTTAGTTGTTTGGAAATAAATGTCAAAGCTTAGATTCAAAATATCCAAAGCGCAGTCACACCATAAGGCAGCACAATACTTTCTCCATTTTATTTTTACCCTCAAACACACTTCTGAAAATTGCTCAACTAACTTGAGATTTGGAGTGACTCCATAATCAGAAACAGAGTCACTCCAGATTGAATTTCTTCTTTAAAAACACATTAATAAAGTCTGTGGATTTTCTAATATGAATGGAATAAAGATATGCATGAGGCAAGGGTTGCCAAAAATAAGCATGAAGTTAGTTTATGGTCATATGGTACGTTATTAGCTCCCCAACCTTAAGCTCAGTCTACTTGTTTATTACACTTACGTTTCACACACTTGACTACCCTTCAGTGTGAAATAGCATAATTTAAAATAAAAAATTAAAATAGCCCTTTAATTTAATCAAGAGCAGGGAACTGCCATTGCAGCATAAGTCATTGTCCCTCATTAATGTATCCTTTCACAGGAAAAATAGTATAGTGTTTCCATTTCTGTAATCTGAACAACAAACATGTTAATAGGTATCAATTACCAGCCAGTTTCAGTACTCAGAACCAGTAAGAAGGCCAGTGCGAGGGTTTCACATCTGGTTTTAGTGAAACTGTTCCTGTCTGTGGTATTTAAAATTTAAAGAACTCCTGTTATTGTGCAATTGGGAATCCTAGGGGAGTACAATGTTAATGAAATCCATAACGTGCAGGGATTTTATGATTGCATTTTCAAGGCATTCCTTCAAAAGGGACGACTGATTTCTGCCATGGCAGCAGTAATTGTGTTTTTACAGAGTAGATTTAATGTTCGCATTTAAGAACAGCAGTTACGTCTACACTCATCTGAAAAAGTAACATGCGAAATCTTTATATTCAGGGAACTTTTTGCATCTTATTTCGGAAGCCTTTGAGCAGAAGCTGCGGGCCGCTGGCCATGACAAGCCCTTGTGCCTGAGGGACACCCCGATGGGTCGTGGGCAGCAGCTCCCCAGGGCAGAGCTGGCGCGGGGGAGCTCCAGGAGGAGTGCCCTGCCGGATAGGTGCCATCAGCTACAGACACTTGAGACCCTCATGTGTGTGGTTTTGAAGAGACTGATTGCCTATTACCAGGGTCACTGGAAACCTGTGCTATCATCAATCCTCATAATGGTGTGGGTTTTCAAACCTGCAAGGAGCAACATCTTCTGGGTACTTTTACTGCAGAATCTCTATTTTTTCTATCAGAATGTTTCTTCTAATGAACATAACACAAACCTTTACACTCCCGCAAAGCTGGATGATAGTTTCTGGGTGGCACAATTTTTCTCTCATCCTCTAACACTGAGTGAGCTTGCCCAGAAAGCAAAGTATGTTTGTTAATAACACAAGATCTTCAGTTCATATTATGGCTGGGGTTGGACAAAACCATAAATCCAGCTTTAAGAATCCTAGTATCAGATCAAAACTTTGCAGCCATAAACCAAAAAGCACTACTCTGGTATAAACACA